ATCCCAAAGCTAGAACAGTTTGAGCAAAAAGAAAATCATGATGCATAGGAGTATAACCCAAAACACATACTAAATATGCACGAGTCCATAGCAATACAAATTATCAAGTAAGTAAATAAGTGAAGAGACAGTTCTTTCTGGTGAAGAATTCCAAAGCATATGTGTAGAATGGAGTTTAAATTACCACTCTTCCCCCTGGCCCTGCTCCTGAGGACAAACTGGTCTTAATGCCTCAGTGATTTGGTTCCAAAGAATAGATTATGAAAAGAGAAAATACCATTATAGGAGAAAAACATGGCAACAAGAAAAAAAGATAACACTGCAGATAGTACCTCAACTAAGAGATCAGGTTTGGGATTTGTAGCAAATGTCATGTTGATAACTTGTACCTCTTCTATGAGGACAGGATTTGAAGAGTGCTTCACCCGTACGATTTTTTTCCCAAAAAAACCCCATGACCTCAGTCTAATTATGAGAAATACCTCAGGTACACTGATGAGAAATTCTACAAAACACCTGACCAGTACTCCTCAAAACTGTCAAGATCGTCAAAAGCAAAACTGAAGAAATTGCCACAGGCCAGAGGAGACTCAGGAACTTGACAACCGACTGCAGTGTGGCATTCTGGATTGGTTCTGGGAACAGAAAGAAGAAAAACTGATGAAATCCGGATAGAGACTGGAGTTCATTTAAAAGTGCTAGCGTTGGGTATGTAGTTATAGAAAATGCTCCATGAGATATGAGATAGAAACAAATAAAGTAACAAATAAAGGAAATGGGAATATACAAATGTCTATGCTATCTTTGCATTTTTTTTTCTAAACCTAACCTTAGCCCCAAATAAAGCATTTGTTTAAAATAATAACATTAGGAACTTTCTATATTCCAAATATTCCATATATGTAGTCATCAGCAGTGTCAGACAGGTGAGTGTGTAGCACATGGTACAAAAAACTTACATGTGAGAACTGAGGATTTACAAATGTTTGCATAACTCCAATGTGTTTGTCATTTTTAAAACCCGATAAGAAGTAGACTTTACACTACATACTTCAACTCTCCGTCTATAGTTTTATCTATAAAAAATGGAAACAAAAGTTATATAAAATAATTCGTACCCTTTCTCTTCCAGCACATTCAGGCAATTTCCATTCTGTTCTATTTTTAAAAGCGGTGCTGCTCACAGCCTACTCAATTGATTTCAAAACCTGTAATCTATATACTTTTTTTCTTGCAACAGTAAAATTAGGCTCACCGTGTACAAGCATAATATTATTAGAGAGCTCAGATTTCTGGAATTGCTGATGCAGGGACTTCAGACATTTTTTTCTTCTAACCATAAAAGGTCAGTTCTCTGAAACAAATCTATTATTAAAGCCATTCGTTAATGGATAACTATTAGGCATTGTGCAGCTATTCAATTGTATCTATGAAGATAGAAGCAGTTATTCTTTCCGTGCTGATCACCTACTATGTACCGTGCACTACGCTGGGCATCAAATACAAAGTACACAACAAAAAACTCCAAGGTCTTGTCA